CCCCCTACGTCGACATGGACATGAACCCCAAAGACCCCGCCGCATACAAGGACGCAGTGTTCTTCTCTGGTCACAAGTTCGTGGGTGGACCTGGCTCCCCGGGTGTCTTGGTAGTGAAGAAAAACTTGATGAGCAACGAGGTGCCCACCATGCCTGGTGGCGGCACCGTGCTGTTCGTTACTGAAAAAGCCCACAGCTACCTTGCTAACAAGGTAGAACGCGAGGAGGGCGGTACCCCTGACATTGTGGGAAGTATCCGTCTTGGCCTTGCTTTCGAGCTCAAGCAACGTGTCGGTCCCAAGAACATCATGGACCTGGAACGCCAGCACGTACATCACGTCCGTGAGGTGCTCGGCAAGAACGAGAACATCATTCTGCTCGGCCACGACAATGTGGACCAGCTGCCGGTCTTCTCGTTCCTCGTTCGCTTCGGCGACCGCTTCCTGCACCACAACTTTGTGTGCGCTCTACTGAACGACCTGTTCGGTATCCAAGCCCGCGGTGGCTGTCAGTGTGCCGGGCCGTTCGGTGCTCGTTTGCTTGGTCTCAGCCGTGAGCATATCACTGATCTGGGCTACGCTGTTGTGGCCAAGGACGAGGTGCTGAAGCCAGGTGTCGCCCGGATGAGCTTCCCGTACTTTGCCGACGAAGAGGAGGTCGAGTACATTCTCGACGCCGTAAAGTTCGTTGCCGATCACGGCTGGAAATTCCTGCCCAAGTACGAGTATGACCCTCACAACGGAGCGTGGCGTCACGTTTCGCGTGCCACCGCCCCCTTTCCGGCTAAGAAATTTTTAGCCAGCATGCAGCTCGACGATCTGGACACCGTGCGCCAGTCTGTGTGTACGGCGCCTATTTGCAGCATTGCTGATCACCGCCGTGAGAACTTGGAACAGGCTGTGGCTCTGGCGGACGCCTGCATTGAGGAGGCCGTGTCACTCGAGGAGTTCCCTGAGGGCCAAAGGCTGGTCCCTGCCCACGAGTGGCTTCGCTGGTTCGTGTACCCGCACGAGGCCGTGGCCACGTTCAAGGAAACGGGCAAGAAGATGGCGCTTACGGAAAGTATCGAGGGCCCGTGCCAACCACAGCGTTACCTGGACGGCTCGGTCCACAATATATGGGAGGGCGTGCCGTCCTTAGGAACGATGAAGAGGAGTCTGATGGGACGCTTTGTGCTCAAGATGTTCATGCAGACCGAGTTGGAAGCCATGAAGGACAAGAGGACAGACGCGGAGAAGAGCGTGTTGAACGATGAGGAAGTGATGTGTGCCGTTTTCGGCGGCTCACAGAAGTGTCAGTAAACGAAGACGTAGACTACATGTACAGAGGAGAAGGGGGCAATCGGGTCGCTCGAGCGGAACGCGTGGCAACGCGTAGTAGTTTCTTGTTTTTAGTAGTAAGCTTTCAGCGTATCATGAAATGAAGCTCACTCATATTAGAGCCTACTTTAAGCGAGTACTTCTTGAGTTTGTTTGTGTTGCTGTTGTTGCCAAGAACGGCCCAAGAAGTTCTTGAAGAACAAGCTGAGCCCACCAAGAATATTAGAACATTAGCACAACATTCTACATTATGCAGCTGAGTAGCACTACACAGATCCCAGATGGCAAGACCTTCAACCAGCAGGTTCAAAACAGTGTTTATTTAAAAAATACTACGTGCCTGATATGAGGCACAAATTGATGTGGCAGCTTTATCGTGGTGAGTATCACTAAGGAGGATATGAAAATCGAAAGTTACCAAAGCATGTTCTTTTTTCGTAGAGTGTAGATCATTTTTCGTCAGTTTTGAGAAACAGCGTTTTTTAATCTTTTTAAAAAGATTTTAGAAATCCGATGTTTTTGCACAGCAATTAATCTTGAAAATGATCACTCTTCATTCTATTAGTATTCAGTTAAATTTTAAGAAAGTATATTACGATTGCGAGAAAACGTTCTGTCAAAGTCAGTAGCTGGCGATTTTATCAAAAACAAATATATTTGTACTGGTGCTGTGTTTAGGTTGACACAAATTATTGCAAAACTGATCACAATGGGGATTGCTAGTTACGCCTAAAAGAGCGAGGAAAGGGAGCGGGGGGGGGGGTAACTTTCAGTTTTAATGCATAGTTTCCATCTAAATTGAAGGTACTCAAGCGCTAATCACTGTTTTTTTCGTCTTCGTCTGGCTCGTGCGGAGGCACAAAGGAGGAAGACACTCTGCTCGCCAAAAGGTTGTAGTTCAGCAACTGCATAACTTTGCGTAATTCGGGTATGCTAAACGTTATGGGAAGCTCTCTTGCGACCCGTTAGCTCGATCGCTGACCGTGTCAAGCTCACTCTCTTCTTCAACCTTCTCTTCAGCCAGCATAGCGTCAAATGCTGAGCTTCAGCGAAGATAGCAGCTCCGGGAGGTTTGAGTGTTGAAATCTCTGGCTGTCGGGCATGCGAGATCGACCACTAGATTCTGGCAATCTCCCAAACTTGGAGCTCGGGTCCTTTGCCAAATACCCATCGATAGTGGCTGCTGCTTCTTAGATTCTTGGCGTAGTAGCACTATGTGGTGTAGTAGAACACGCAAATAGTGGATTCTTCACACAAACCACAACAATTTGCCGAGTTAGGTCGGCGCTTGTATGACCTGCGCAGAGGATGATCCCCTCGCGGTTCGGTCCAGCCGGGACAGACGAGTGGCTCGCTTCCACTGAGTTTCGAATAATTAAGTCAGAGCACTTCCGAGGTTCTGCCGAGCTCAACTCGACTGAGCTCGTTCACAAAACCCTGTACCCTCCACCAAAGGATGAACGACGGCGCGGGAGCACTTTTACAGATCACCGAGCGTAGAGGTTGCTCAGTTAGAAGTGTTACGACACGCGAGCTATCCGACGTACCGGCTGGCTGAGTTTGCGGGACTTTCTTTCGCGCGTAGCAAGACTTTGTCCTACCCGGACTAGCCTAATCTCTTAGCGCTACCAGTCAATACCCTACAAGCTATGCCTTCTGGGTACAAACGGTAGGCATAATCCAGCCCTATGCAGGAACTTACCAGAAGAGTGTACACGTGTCTTGGACTAGAAAATTTTTGCTCTGCTATCTTCTGGGAGCCCTTTTGCCCCCCCCTTTTTTTAATCCTATGCTTCCTTTACAAATATCGAGTGAAATGTAGTCGTTTCGGATCTCTGCCGACCCTTCCGCTGACCGTTGAGCTCAGCGGCCATCCGGATAACAGCATCCGGACAGATCGCTGAGTACTTACCGTGACCCTTTGTTTCTAAGCTCTGGGATGCCAGACCGAGCCGATTCTAGGTCTAAAGTAGGTTGACGTATGGCCGAATCTGAACTTCCCTTTACCACAACTGCGCCGGTTATGATACGAACCAAGCTGGTGAGTGTCTTAATCCTTCATTTGGTTCTGCCACCGTTGGTTCATTTTTGGTACGTTCGCCGGCTCCGTTGTTGCTCACATGGCAGCTCCTCACGCTCCTCGTCTGTTTCTCCAGCACAACTCACGGCGCCACTCTTCTCCACCGACCCCCCCCCCCCCGTCGAGGCGAAGGCGCGTCCGCTGAGTCGATTCCTCGGCCTGTTGGTACTCGTGGGGTCAGCGCCCGGCACGATGCCGGGTTGGTCGACCTGACAACTTCCCATGCGTCTGACGCGGAGTCGGCGGAGTCCTCTCGCGCGCGCCTTCCTGGTCCGCCGAGCTTGCCGGGTGACACAACTTCGGATGGCAGCGATCAGTCGAGCCCGGCTGCCCCAGTGAGTCTTGACGCCCTCGCGGTACTGGTCACTCAGCAAGGGTACGAACGCCGGGAAGAATTGGCCTTCTTGGTGAGGCTCATGGAGTACGGGCTCACTCGCCCCGTGGAGCCTTCTGATCCTGCAGAAAGGCGAGTGGTCCTGCACGCTTCTACAGCCGAGGAACTGCGGAAACTTTTGAGTGGTCACTACGCTGCTCTTAATTACGCCCAGGTCATCGGTGACCTCAGCGCTGACCTTCAGGCCGCCAGAGTCGAGAATCACACGCTAACTCGACGGCTAGACACCCTCGCCCTTGACAACGTTGACTTGTCAGCTCAGCAATCGTCGCCAAAGCTGCGGGTGTCTCGGCTGGAGGTTGTTATCACGCAATCTGCTAATCACCTCACCTCACTACGAAAAGCCGTAGCTCTGAGTGAAGCAAACCTCGCTCGGGCCGTCGCACCTGAGCAAGGCAAGGTCGAAACTGCGTTAAGTCAAGCCTGGTCCACCATCAGCAAGTCTTGGATCGAGACGCTGAGATCGTGACTCTCCTCTAGACCATCCCCGAGACGGATGCGGCGTATATGACACTTTAGGGCATTGCTGCTAAATATTTCGAGCAGCTGCAAGAATCAGTGCATCTTTACAGCTCGACCGGCGATCGAACGTTGAGGCATGCTCAGTTGGCGATCGCTGGTCAGCGGGCAGTGATATTACGGCAAAAACGAGTCGTCCGGCGAAACGGTACTCTTCCGATGCATGACCCTCACATGGCTGCCGCTGTTGACGCTGAATTGGACGTTTCTGGCCTCGATTTTATCTCAATGCCCAGATGTGCCGCATTTTATAGTCTCGCTTTCCCGAAGTTTTCGACATCGCTGCTCGCGAGTCCCGCCAGCTAGCGTTGGTGATCTATCCTCGTCGGGATGCCCCAGCGATGCTTCCGGTTTCTGCTGCTGGGCCGGCTGTTGCTCCCAGTGTTCAGTCACTCAGTTCAGCGCCTTCAGGGCTTCCGACTTTTTCTGTGACTCCTTCGGTGAACTCGGCATGCAGTTCTTGCGAGTCCAGCGGCGGATGTGATCAGCCCACGACGACTCTCGCTCAGCTTCGTCGGCTTCCATTGGCCGACTTGACACCTACGCAACGGCTTCGGCGTTACGCGAGCCCGAAGTCTCCCATTGCCGCTGGTCCTCGTCACCGTTCGCCGGTGCCGCCCCCACCTTAGCCGTACGCTTGTCCACTTCCAAGGGAGGAAAAACACGACGCCGTCAGTACTCAAGTCCACCTCAAGAGACCGTGTCCGACGGAAAGAGATTTTGCTCCGCTGTCTCGACGCCGGACTCGGCTGAAGAAGGTTCGTCGGCTTCAGTTGAGTTCTCCTGCACAACCAGCTGTCTCCACTCGTTCCGAAGGTGAGGCTGAAGCTTCGAGCGAGGCTGAGTACGAGTTTGTCATGCCTATGCCTGCCGACGACACGGTTCTTGCGTCTGGTTCGCCGACCGCAGGGCCTCTGCCTTATGGCAATCTGTCGACGTTGTCAGTCACGGCCACTCATCCATTGTTGATGGCTTCTTCCAACGTCCCAGCTTCACTACCACTGCGCTCTGGTCTATCTCCTTCCGGATCTACACTGTTCGCGGTGTTTCGAGCGCCGAGTCCAACTTCAGGTGGATTGGCCGCTCGACATGTCACGGTTGAGAGGGCTCTTACGCATGTCTCGAAGTCTCCCAGTTCAGCCGGGTTGGCGCTCCTTGAAGCGTCACGTCAATGGGAGCTGCGGACAATCGGTTGTCGTCGAGCTCTCGGTCACTCCACGTCTCGGCTGAGGTCGCTCCGTCTCAAGGTATTAGTGTATCCATCACATCGACTGACCTTGTGACTTCGGCTACGAGTGTTGTTAGATCGTCTCTTCCTGTGGGCTCGGCTTCGCTGACGTCATCTTCTGGGCACCCCATCCAGAGATCTGCTGCGTCCGCCCGTACTGTGACCGCCCAGCTGCTCGAGGACCTTGACGCTTCTGACGACGAGGTCTTAGGGACTGGCGATGGTTCTGAACAGTCCGCCGTCTCGGCGAGTTTCGCAGCTAAGTCGCCCTCGGATCCCATTTCCCTGTCGGAGAACTCGACGGGTAGCCCTTCAGGTTCTGACTTGGCGGAAGCGGGTGTCATTCCTTCTACCAAGAAGAGAAGCCTTCATGCGGAAGTCTTCGGCTCCGACGATGAGATGAGTGGTGAATCTTCGCTGCCGAGTTATCGCCATACTTCGCGACATTCATCTATTGGTTCTGATGACGGAGCTGTACCTTTCACCCCAGCGTCTGTTTCGGGGAAACACCAGCACCGCAAGTGTCATGCCTTGTCGAGTCCTACTGGTCGCCAGTCATAGAAGTCCAAGAAACATCACAAGAAGCACAAGAAGTACCACAAGAAGCACCGACACTACAAGCATCGACAGTCCGTGCCAACACCCGACGTGGCTTTGGCTCAATCTTCGTTGGATGCTTCTTCGCCGAGTGCGGCCCCGGTGGTATCCGCTCCGTCTCGGCCGAGCTCGACTGTGTCGCGCCTCACACGACTAGTTCCAGC